TCCACAAAGCAATCTATTGTTGCTACTTCTTCAAATCATGCTGAGATAATAGCTATTCATGAAGCAAGTAGGGAATGCGTATGGTTGAGATCAATAATTCATTTTATTCGAGAAAAATGTGGTTTGGAATGTGAGAAAAGACCCACAATTTTATACAAAGACAATGCTGCATGCATAGCCCAATTGAATGGGGGATTTATAAAAGGAGATAGAACGAAGCACATTTCACCAAAATTATTCTACACACCCGATCTTTAGAAAAATGGTGACATTGATGTGCAACAAATCCGTTCAAGTGACAATTTAGCAGATTTATTCACTAAATCTTTACCAACTTTAACTTTTGAGAAGATGGTATACAAGATTGGAATGTGGAGACTTAAATATTTGAAACAAGGTTTTCATCAGGAGGAGTAAAATACGCGATGTACTCTTTTTTCCTTACTAAGGTTTTTTCCCACCTTGTTTTCCTTATAAGGTTTTTAATGAGGCAGCTAGCAATGCGTATTACTAAATATGTGTACTCCTTTTCCTTCACTAGGATCTTTTCCCACAGGGTTTTTTCCTAGTAAGGTTTTAATGAGGCACATTATCTTTTAATGAACATTCAAGGGGGGGTGTTATGAAAATAATTATATTGTGAATGTCCATTTATTATTCTGTTATAGATAATCTTCCTGAAGAAAATTATCCATTTAGTATTCTGTTGAAGTTTATCTACAAGCAGCTCAATGAAATGATTTGCAGCAGCTTCTTATTAAACAAGCAGGTTGCAAACAGCTCATGCAGACAACTTACAAGCAGCTAAAGAAAAGTCTTGCAGCTGCTTCTTGAAAAACCTTGCAGCTGCTTCCTTTCTTTTATAAATAGAGGAATTTTCAGTTCATTATGTACATAAGTTTGAAGTTTGAATAATATATCAGTTTCTCTCTATACCTGTCTTTACTTTACTGTCTTTTATTATTTTATAACAATAATATAAATCTTAGAGAAATATCAAGAAACAATCTTGATAGAAGAAACTATGAAAACGATTGGAGGAGACCCAAAGGCTATCAATCATTGAAGAGAAAAATCACGAAAAGCTGTTGATAGATTATGGGATTTGTAAAATCACAAGTACAAGATCATTCTGATAAGACTGACATCAATTACTTCGTACACGGTCCGAGGTTGCCGAATTAATGTTGGAAACGGTAATTATTTTTGCGTGAGTGTTCTACTTTAATTGGCTAGCAGTAAATATGTGACAACGTCGTCGTTCGGGAAAATAAAGACAACGGAATCAAATCAAATCTAGGGAAATCCTACGTTTATTGTTAATTGAGAGTAGAGACAAAAGAATCGATCAAATCTGGAGAAATCTTACGTTTATTGTTAGTAAATGGAGTAGTAATTAAATATCGTGAAGGCAGAGAACCAGAGGAGAGAAAAGGTTGGCTTTGTACCAAAAATAAACAAGACAACCTTATTGGTTATTTTGATCCGCTGAAGATAAAGACGAACAGGAAAATAAGCATCTACTATTATTGATGCTGTACACTTCATTTTATTTGAAACTCTTTTTTCGATTAATTTATTTAAAAAGTAATACTATATATGAGTAGTTTTTATATTCAAAAGTCATTTTAACAGTTTGTTTGGATGATTGTTACATGTTTTATTGTATCATACTATTATTTTAAATACGATATTTATTTTGATTGTTACTTAAATTTTATTGAATTGTATCGTTAAATTCGTCGTTAGGTAACGACGAAAAGTATCACTTTACGGAACGACCGATTTGATGTGGTCACGTCGTTACCTTATTTTTGTCGCTCATCTTGTCCTTCCTTATTACTCTCTCCGTTCACTTTTACTTGTCCACTATTGATTTTGCACATCCCTTCAGAAATAATAAATAAAGTGCATAATTACCATGATACCCATATTAATTGGTGTATAGTCTTAATGGATTTGGAAAATAATTTGAAATAAGTAATTAATGCTAAGAGCAAAATAGAAAAAAATTAATTATTTTTCTCTTGATATGCGAAAAGTGACAAGTAAAAATAAAAATTATTTTTAGAATACTTGACAACTAAAAGTGAATGGAGAGAGTATTAAATAATCATATTTTATCCTTACCCTATCTTTTTATATAATAATTCTACCTCGTACCTTATTTTTGTTGGTGCTTGACATCATGAAACGACGTCAAATAATACAATCTATCCAAATATTGTATACATCAAAACGATATAATACTATATGATACATTATGAAACGATATATAACAAACTATATATCCAAACAAGCTGTAAAGAGTTTATATGTCGAAAAAAACATTTCTTTCTAAATTCTACTATCTTAGATCAAAACATTAAAAATTAAATGAAAGGGAGAGAACGTCACATTTCAGGCTCATTTATGGCGTTAATTATGGAGAGAACGTCACATTTCAGACTGGGCGAAGAAAAGAAAATTCTAGATAAAATGGGCATGAGCATGGCTGGATGACTTTGATAAGTATTACTTTCTCTCTTCCAATTTATATGAACATATTTTAATGGGCACGAAGTTTAAGAAAAAATAAGATTTTTAGAATTTGTGATCCTAAATAAATTAAAAGGGGTTTAGAATTGAAAGTTTAAGCTAAATTATTTCCAAATTTAGAAAGGAGTCATTCTTTTTAAAACAGATCAAAAAGAAAATAAGTTCACATAAACCGGAACTGAGGGAGTAATTAATTAACGTTTGTCCAGTGTCCTTAGTTAGAAATTTTGGTCGCTTTCACGATTGTCATTATCTCTGTCTTTTCCTCTAGTCCAAAATGGACGGTAATTGTGATTCAATGAAGAGTAGTTATTCGCATTGCAGGTACAATTATTTGACACGTGAAAATGAAAAGATAGGAAAAAACATCAATACTAGATTTTTAAGATTTAATATTCGTTTGAGTTTTGATCTTCAGAAAAAAGAGCAGAGACTAAACATGAAAGTATTTATAACACATACTGATAGGGTACTAATTAAGCAGTTTTTATACACATTGATGGGAGTAAATCCTTTTTACGTTACTAGTGAATTTTAATCAGGTTATTTTTCCATATTTTTAGATTACCAATTTCAATTGATATGAACTATTACATAAATTAAACAGGTCTATTCAATGGCGGCTGAACTTTTCTACAAATCACATTCACATACATATTCGAAAGACCCAAAAAAAGAAAAGAGGATTAGAAGTTTCAAGCATACACGTAAAGAAGAAGAAGGAAGGGAAGTGAACCTGAAAGTTTCGAGCAATAAATCTTGATAATGAAGATGTGACAATTGAGATAAAGAAACATTGAATCCTTCCATCCATTGTAGGCTCTGCTGGTTATTTGGTTGGGGACCTCGTTTTTGTGGTATAGCAGATCCAGAAGGAGTTAGAGCAGGGGTACCCCAAAAGTAGGATATAGGAGGACTGATCATATTATTGCTACTAATTGAGAAGAAGGTTTTTTTAGTTTCATAGGGCAGAGAGAAGAGCTTTTTAGCATGTTCTTGAATTTGGTTCAATAGAGTAATTGGAATACCATGGTTCACCAAACGAAATAATCCCCAATTTCTACACGCTTTGCTGATACTTGTTGTTGTCCTTGTGCATTGTAAGTCAATCACAGGGATAGCAGCGTCCACTGAATCGAATGCTAACTTTGAAAGTGTCTCTGGTTTATCAGAGTTCAAACTTGGGATGTTTGCTGGGCGAAACAACGGAGGGTAGGATTCAAAGTTAGATTCGGACATGATGTTTGTTTCTTCCCCTTTTCCTTAATCCAACTAACCTCAGATTTTTAGCTTGCTAGCGTAGCATGAAATAGGTATTTTATAGGAGGATACTTTCGAAATTGTTACGTCGTTTGTGGCATACATATCCTTTTGTAAGCACTGTCATCTGACACCGATTTATAGAAAAATCTTATTATATAGATGTATAAATAATTTTTAAATAAATAATATACTCCTATAAAATAAAATAGGCTAAAACTATTTAAAATAGGCCAAAATTCCAACATGTTTCTCTATATCTCTATATATATATATATAGAGATAGGGGCTAAAACTGTTTGAAAAAGGGTAATATAAATATTAATGTAGAATAGAGATCAAGCCTCACACCATTTTCTTGGACTCAAACCACTAAATTACAAGCCGAATATAAATAGGATAGTATTACGGTACAAAATTCTGCGTATGCTACCATAAAAATATCGAAGATAGAACCACAAGATTAGAATTTCATAAGGCCGTTGGTTGAAATAAGATACTTCCTCCGTTTCAATTTATGTGAACCTATTTTCTTTTTAGTCCGTGCCAAAAAAAATGATCACTTTCCTTATTTGGAAACAATTTACCTTTATGCAATGATTTATAGTCACACAAAATATATGTGCCTCATTTTACACCACAAGTTTAAAAATTTTCTCTTTTTTCTTAAACTCTGTGCCCAGTCAAATGAGTTCACATAAATTGAAATGGAGGGAGTATATCAATTTTAGTATTCTTTTGGTAATACAAAGGTTAGATCCACTTTTTCAAACGGTGCTGTGTTGACATTCTCTTACTTAACAGTTACCACTATCCTATCTATCTCATCTTTATCAAATGAAATGTGTCTAGTCTGAAGTTCCTGATTCAACTCCCTATGAGAGTAAACACAAAACAGTACAACCATATTCTGTTTAGTGAAAGAGATGATTTTAATAGGGTTTTATGGCAATTATTAGTTAGAAAAATGAGGCAAGAAATTTATTTTGGGATGGGGGCTTCGAGGGGTAGATTCTGGACAAAAGTGGACAGGCATGTCTAGTCTGTCGACACGTTGACATGGTCCCTATAATAAGTCCTTCGTCTATAATGATACCGAAGATACCGATAAGCTAAGAGTTGTGATGAGATGAATATAATTTTTTATTTTATAATATGAAGTTTCGAAAATTGAAAATAAAAGAATGAGATCATAGGGAACATTACGCGAAACAAATTTAAATTGATGGACACACTAAAATGGATACAAATTACGAGACGAGAAACAAAAGAGAAGTACCGAAGATTTCTTCGATCACAAAAGAATACGTGAAAGGGAAGTTGGAAGTAAGCTATGGTTTTGTGCGGGTGAATTGATTATTGAGAGTTGTGACTTGTAATTATCACTCTACTCACTTCCTTTTTTCAGGACTCTTTATTATGCTGCTGGCACCTGCAGAAATAATGAAGGATTCTGATACTAACACTGAGGTCGACTTGTCCCTTTTGCGTTCCTCCACATGGGCTAAATAGAGTCTATGTTCAATGGATTCAAGTGAATGAGAATCCATTAATTTTGACACAAAACGTGTGCGTGAGAGGAAAAACAAAATATTAGACTACAATTTTAGTCTAATTTTTTTGTCATTAATGATTATTAAAAGGATGAATTGCACTAATCAGATACTCTATGAAATTTTTGAATTTCCGTTATTTTAAAAACCAAAAATAATATGCCGCTGACTTAAAATATTAGACATCCAGTATATTTTTATGTATGTGTAACCAAACAAAGACTTGTGGTTCAATCCCAGGTTCTTGGGGTTCATATGTATAAGTGCAATTAACATGGATGCCAATTTGCCTAGTGGCCCAATATATATCTTCATTGAACTTGTCAGGGAATCAGCTTTCTCGAAATATTCCAACATCTTTCTCCATCTCTAAAGGCAAAATATCCTTGATTTTTCAAGCAATGGGGGCCTATATCAGATCTGTGTCCATGCTTACAAAGTGACATTGCTGGAAATAATAGCATTTGTCATCCCTTGTTCAAAGGCTGTCATTTAACATCACTTTCCTGAAAAATTATAGTACTAAATTTTCTTTATATATATATATATATATATATATATATATTGATCAATTTGGCTTTTCGTATATTTAATTTTTTATACGTCATATACTTTGATCCTTCTCAATAAAAATTCTCACGTTACCACTTTTTGTCGTTGTACATCGTTGAGGATTCTGTCAAGTCCATTTAGTCTCATTTGGTTTGTGTACAAAATGTGCTCCTAAATTACATACTTAGATTTTAAAAAAAAATGTCAATTTTAATATTTAACAAACAAGGTTGTTCCAATGTTTAAATTTGAAGGACGCTTTTGATCATTCTCTTAAATCTTTACGGGCACGTTTGATACGAGAGATAAGGGATAATTAATTTCATAATTAAATTTGAGATGAGTTTATCTCATGTTTGGTTGCGAATTAATCGCGGTATAACTAATCCTGAGATTAGTTATCCCACGATTGTAGTGTTATTTTTATCCTCATAGGCGGGATAATAATCCCGAAATAACTAATATGGGATAATTAATCTTGGGATAACTGTATACGGTCAAAACCGGGTTCGCCTCTTGTGCGATTAATCGAGACTGAAAAATGGTAGGTTAAAGTTCAACCTCGAATTATATCAAACCGAGGTGCAAAGCTATATCGTTAAACTCGAGACCATGTCATCGAACAAAATCGAGATCAGACGAGATAGAGGGAAATTTACCAAGCCGAATAACAGAAGGAAGAAATATTCGCGATCGGTTGTAGATCACGGCGGAAATCTCGGCATGTATCAAAGATAGGCCGATTGATTAGCAAATCATGAGATTTCTTACCTTGTATAGAATTATATCAAGAGTAAGACTCTTCTACTATATAAAGGGGGTCTGATCATTTGTAAAGGGACACATTACGCAACATAAAGCAATATACTGTCATTTTCTAGTTTTTATCATCTTGTTATTTTGTTCATACATCAGTTGAGACATCTCTCATATTAAGGATGTTCGATTTGATAAACAGTCTGGCATAAGGCTGCTCGATTCGTATGGTTTGCATTATTCTTTTATCGTCCATTTTAATTTTAATCTGTTTCCTTAATTTATATCAAGTTATATCATGTATCCTTAAAACTGCGTATAAATTCAATTGTTATCCGATTTTTAGGGTAAACAGTTTGGCGCCCACCGTGGGTCTAAGGATAATAGTGATTACCTGGTACAAACTTTCATAACATACACTATTTTATACTTATTCTTTTGAGTATCTTTGATTTCAGGACCAAAATGTCGAACTCTCAGTCAATACCCCTATACGTGGATAATGATTTCGGTCACCACGACGAAAATGATAACATAGCACCAAGGAACGACGTACCTCCAGTTGGCCTCGATGGAGTTTCGGCTATAGATCCAATTAACGTCAGCTCGTATGTAGCCATCAATGCAAATTCGATCGTCGATCCCGAGAGCAGCATCCGTAGAGACATTCGATCAGCCGCTCAAAGAACACGTGGCGACGAAGAGGGCAGGATCAGCCTGCGGGTAATCTTCAAAATGTTGCAGACTCAACAAGCAGCGATAGCCCAACTCCAAAATCAGAATCGCTTACCAAGCAGGATCGAGCCCGAGCCGTCTTAGGAAGTTGTCCATAGGATCGAATCGGTTTCAAGGAAATCGAACAAGAAGGAATCGGGGGTGCATCATGCAATCATGAAGATGCTCGAAGAACTGACAAAACAAGTTGAGTCGGGGGAAAAGAAGATCGAGGCAAACGATAAGAAGGTGGAAACTTATAACTCCAGGGTCGATCAAATCCCGGAGGCACCACAAATATTGAAGGGTCTGTATTCCAAAAGATTCGTGCAAAAGCCCTTCCCCCACGAGCGTGGCTCCCAAACCGATTCCCAAGAAGTTCTGCATGCCCGAGATTTCTAAATACAATGGAACGACCGACCCAAACGAGCATGTCACCTCTTACACATGTGCTATCAAAGGGAATGGTTTAGAGGATGACGCGATCGAGTCTGTCTTGCTAAAGAAATTTGGGGAAACCCTGTCAAAGGAAGCTATGATATGGTACCATAATTTACCACCTAACTCTATTGATTCGTTTTCTATGCTTACAGATTCTTTTGTAAAGGCACACGTTTGGGTCATCACGGTCGAAATTAGGAAGTCGGACCTTTTCAAGGTAAGGGAATAGGACAATGAAATGCTCAGAGAATTCGTGTCTCGGTTCCAAATGGAATGAATGGACCTGCCATCGGTCGTCGATGATTGGGTTGTTCAAGCTTTCATCCAAGGACTCAATATTCGAAGTTCAGTGGCTTCGCAGCAGTTGAAGAAGAATTTGATGGAATACCCGACTGTTACTTGGGCCGATGTGCACAATCGGTATCAATTAAAGATCAGGATCGAAGACGACCAGCTTAGAACTCCTTCCGGGTCCATTTATCCTATTAGGCCCCATTGATAGAATCAAGAGGGACATTGACCGAAAACTGAGGTTGAATAGGGATCGATATTAGTCGTATAATGGAGATCGTAGGAACAGCGGATCTGGGCGAAATTCTATACGAAATGAAAGGAAGACTGACCGAGGCCAGAGCTCTTGAGGGATTATGAGTAAGAATGGCTTTGACAGGCCTATCAGACCTAAAGAGGCACCACGATTAACAGACTATAACTTTAATGTTGACACAACCGGTATCGTATCGGCTATTGGACGCATCAAAGATACCAAATGGCCTCGACCTCTACAAACCTATCCAGCCCAGAGAAATCCCAACCAAATGTGCAAATATCATGGCACACATGGCCACAGAACGGAAGATTGTTGACCGTTGAGAGAAGAAGTAGCCAGGTTATTCAACGACGGGCACCTTCAGGAGTTTCTAAGTGATCGAGCCAAGAATCATTTCAGAAACAGTGATTCCACTAAGCAAAATGAGCAAGAAGAACCTCAACATGTCATTCATATGATTATCGTAGGGGTCGATGTTCCCCAAAGTCCGATGTTAAAATGCACCAAGGTGTCAATCACGAGGGAGAAACGAACTCCAGACTACATACCAGAAGGAACCTTATC